AACTACATACTGACCTTGCTACTGGCCAATACGACATCGTTTTCTGTTGGTTGCCCAGCCATGTTGGAATCACTGGCAACTCATTGGCTAATGCTGCTGCAAAGGCAGCACTCAACAAATCTGTGACACCACTTCTGGTCCCATACAGTGATTATAAACCTGTCATTAGATGTTTCATCAGAGATCTGATGCAGAAGAAGTGGGACACCGAAGTGAGTATCAATAAGTTACATGAAATCAAACTTAATATTGGCTACACCTACTCGGGTTGTCAGTCCAGAATTGACGAGGACAACATGCGACGATGTCGTATTGGCCATTCAAGCTATACTCACGAATATTTATTGAAGGGTGAGGATCCTCCATTTTGTATCCCGTGTGATGAAAGAATAACCATCAAGCATATCCTGCTTGACTATGTTGATTTTTCCATCACAAGGGATAAGTATTTCAAAGTTTCTTCGACAAAGGATCTTTTTAATAGCAGTAGTACTCATTTAATTCTTTCTTTTTTTTAAAATAAATAGAATTGTATAACAAATTATGTTGATAGGTCTTGTACAAAAATTATTTTTAAATTTAGGTGGAATATATTTATATCTGAGATTGGTTATTGGCTGTGGGTAAGTTAACTAAACGTTTCCAATCCAATGTTATCCTAAATGACTTTGTTATCCTAAATGAATCTCGCTTCGCTTGAATCTATCAGAGTTCGATTTGGTCTTCAAGAAGTGATCCAGTGAGATGTTTCAAACAGAAATGACTGTTCAGTCCAAATGTCAACACGCAGTCAAAAGCAGTCAACACACAGTCAAAAGCAGTCAACACGCAGTCAACACGTAGCCCACACGCTCAACACGCAGTCAACACGCAGTCAACAGCAGTCAATAGGCAGTCAACACGCAGTCAACAGCAGTCAATAGAAGTCAACACGCAATCAACACGCAGTCAACACGCAGTCCACACGCAGTCCACACGCTCAACACGCAGTGAACAGCAGTCAACACGCAGTCAACGCGCAGTCAACGCGCAGTCAACACGCAGTATAAAGTCCCAGACCTTGAGTTAGCCGCTTCTTATGACAAACCTAGGATCTGGGGACCAATTCTATTTCAGAATCACCACTGGTGAAGTTGGTGCACTATAATCTTGGTAAATGTAAGTCTTTGATTGCCTGTTTTGACTGTTGTGTGAAAGAAACGGATATTGGCTGTATCCTCGAAGGGGGTTAAAGTAGTGTAAAATTATAGTCCCCCCTGAGAGGAGATCCTATTATAAAGAAATGCATTTGAGCAGATACTAGTACCCGGATACCTGCAGTATATAAATGTCTAGTTTAATTTAAAAAAGAAAAGAATTGGACAACCCGTGTGTTGCATCTCTGTGTTGGTGGAGGGGGGAGTCTGGAAGTTGATGGCACTGGTTACTTGAACTGTGTTCCTTTGCCCAACACACTACTTTGACCCAAACTTCACCTAGACAGGTGGTAGAATTGGCCCGTTTCTATCAATCAGCTGGTCATGTCAAGCCCTGTGCTGGAAACTTGTTTGTCTGATTTAATCCTATTATATTTGGGCTTGGAATGTTAAACCTTATTTGAATACATTTACTAAGCCAGAAGGTGGTGGCTCACGGGTCAATCTGGTAATGTCAACCTCTAAGGTCTATATGTCTCCAGTCTAGCATTTTATTTGGTCGATAAATTTATGCCGTATTTACTGGAGTATATCACCCTTGTATCCCAAGAGTTTGTATGCTGGATCTCCACTGCAGTGAAACCCTGTCCTTGTTGACACTCCATGCTGAGGGGAGCAGGGGTACCAAATCTAACTATCTACATCATGCCGCTTACCAATTCTAGTTTTGTTACAAATTACAAGAAAAGGCATTTAGAGACTGATCGATATCATCTTTCATATCATGAGGATGTTTCAGTTTCAGAACAACAAGAAACTTGAGCTAAGTGTATAGTCATTGAATCTACAAATGGAGATCCACTTAAAATCAATCCTTTAGTTATCTCAAAAAATGATTCAGTCTATCTGTGGTGAAGTTAAGAACGTTTCACGTCTCCGAGACGGTTTGCTCCTTGTTGAGTGTGCCAAACGTCAACAATCTATAAATTTGTTAAAACAACTTCACTTTGCAAATATCAGTGTCGCTATTTCAGCGCACAAAATGCTCAATTCTAGTAGAGGTATAAACGGATTTAATTGGGACTTTATCTGAAAAACCATTGCAAACAGATAATATACAACCTGATTCTGACACTCATTCAATCACTGACATTGGCAACATCTTCCTCTGAGACTGTCGAAATGTCATTAAAACAAAGAAACGCCTCGATCGTAAACAACCATCAAAGATCACATCTCCTTTAGAGGTACCTCTAACTGTTGAAGTTCATAACTCCTTTGACCCTCAGGAGATAGAAGTCATGCCATCTTCAGAACACAGACATAGGATCCCATCTTCCTCACGTGCACGGGAGAGATGCCCCATAGAACCACCATGACTCAATCTCCAAATATAATTCAGTGGAATTGCGGAGGACTAAGGAGTAACTTTAATGAAGTACGGTTATTAGCACAAGATCATAAACCTTCAGCATTTAGTTTACAAGAAACCTATCTTATGCATACTGATAAATTTCAAAAGTATCATTACAATTCTTATCATTCTATTTCACCACCAAGTGATAAAGCCACTGGCGTGGCTTCAATTTTTGTGAGACAGGGCATTATCCACAGCCCTGTTCCTCTATCCTGCAATCTTCAGGCTGTTTGACCAGCTCCCTACGCCCTGTATCCTTATTGGTGATCTTAATAGACATAACCCTCTTCTCTAAGATTTTATTTCAAATGATAATTCAAGCATACTGTTAATATGGAAATTAATGCGTCTCTAAATTGATACGACTGCAGTCCCTAGCCAAAAATGCGACTCAATATGAATGCTATTCCCAAGTCCGATGTTAACCCACATATTCGTAATCCATGGTTTAATGACGAATGCAAACAAGCTAGGAAGTTTAGGACGGTGGCAAAGTAGGTTGTGCAACTTTCGTTGGATCAAAATATTTATCATCTACGATACCTGACAATAGCTCTATTTTCACTGCTGAGACCAATACCATCATTACAGCCTTGGTATACATTCAATGACAGTCTGCATGTGAACAATTAATCATCTTTTCTGATTCGCTATTCTGTTTTCGGGGACTGAAAAATGTCTCTTCTAATCATCCAATTATTTTCAATATTTTAGAACTTTATGATCTTTCAACTGGCCAATACAACATCATCTTTTCTAGGTTACCCAGTCATGTGGGCATAAAAAAGCAATACATTGGCTGATGCTGAAGCAAAAGCAGCACTCAACCAATCTGTGACACCTCTTCTTCTTCCATACAGTGATTAGATGTACTGTTACATCCAAGATCTCATGTAAAAGAAGTGGGACACCCACGCAGTATTATAAGTTACATGAAATCAAACAAAATATCTGTGACACCTACTTTGGTTGTCTGTCCACATTTGAAGAGGTTCTATACCCACGAATATATATTGAAAGGTGAGGATCTTCCATTCTGTATCCTTTCTGATGAAAGAATCACGGTCATGCATGTCCTGCTTGACTGTGTTGATATTTCAATCACAAGGGATAAATATTTCAAGGTTTCATCACTGAAGGGCCAGCTCTGATTTCATCATCTTTTTTAAAAAGAGATAGAAATTATTGATAATTTTGCATGTAAATAGGTTTTTCTTTTAATTGGTTTTATATAATTATTAACTAAGATGGCTGTGCCCTTGACAGGGGTTGAAGTATTGTAAAATTATTATCCCCCTCAGAGGGTATTGTAAGACCATCTCTACCAAAGTTTGTTGTTCCTACCTCAGTTTTAATCACAGCTTATTTGTTATTCTAATTGATGGCTAAAATTGCATACAATCGCCAGCAGTTGAAGGGATAATGTAAACCCTGCTGGTGAACCGTGCAGGTTGCAGAAGTATTACAAGTTCTTCATTCCCTAGCATAGTGGCCTAACTTTGGTTGCTGGCAATCTGAAGCCCCTTTTTTTATATTGGGTTGTATAATGATAGTTTATTGTTTCTCAAAACAGTTTTACTCTAGTTATGTACTGTCCTTTGGACACAGGATTTATGCAATCTGAATATACTTGTTGGCAATGTTAAACTTTATCTCGTCATGATATTGCTGAAATATTGATGATGTAACGTTTAATCTTAACTCACTCACTCACACTAATGTGATTGACAAGATTCAGGAAAAACATGGCAAATATGACTTCACTTTCGAAATGTCAAGTTTGAATCAAAGTACCAAGTTGTCTGATTCCCCATTGTTCTCAATGCCTTAGATTTTGCTACCTCCTAAATCTGTTGTCTGACATTGGGGGATTAACCAGGTTTGCTGCCAGGAATACAGCCCTTCTGACAATCTGGGTAATGCAGAAGGCTGCAGTATTTGGAAGTCTTCACATTCTCAGAAAGATTCTGGGTGGGTTTTACTAGTCAGCGCTTCCTGTCAGCCTAACCAGCCTGACTGTGTCAGGATCACATAAACCCTCTTTGCTGCATTTTTCCTTCTGTAAATAATAATAATAATCCTCAGCTCTCTGGGAAGTATACAGCCTAAGCTGCTTGTGTGGCTCTAGAAGGTTAACTGCCACATTGCTAACTGATCCTACTGGGTTCCCATTCACTTCTGGGTGAACAGAGGCACATTTCAAACAAAGTCACTTCCTGAGGAAACACCACATGTAACATGTGTTTCAGTATTAGATTTGTGTGAAATCACATTCTTCACCATCGCCATGGATTAAAATTAAGACAAGTGGTTGATTGTTACTGATATCTGGTCTGTGTGTTGCCGAACGTGTTTCAGGTTAAAAAGACAACAACAAAAATCAACATATGTTTATTGCTGCAGAATAATTGTTTTTATTTCATGTGTTCTAGAGACAAGACCACGCATTGAGTTGAATTAATGAAACAAATAAACCAATAAATCAAATACACAGAATCAACTATGTTAACATTCTGAGTAGTGTTCAACTGCCTGTAGTTCAACGTGTTCTGACGATAGTGAGACCTGCCTGTGGCGAGGGGTACGACTATGCCACCATTGATGTGTTCCTGGAGTAGAGTCCACTGTTTCAGGCGGAATGCCACATGCACTGGTGCACACTTCTTTCTCACCAGAACGGAACAGATCTACATCCACAAGAAGTGTACAGAAAGTGGCACATTACCATGTCATAAATAATTTGTCATAAGGGACAAAACGAACCCAATCGTTATGACGGACATGAAGGTTCCGAAAATACGGAAGAGAAATTTGTCCAGTATGTGAGCAATCTCTTTTGCACTAGACCCTCGTTGAGGAGATGTTATCTTCTCTGTACATTCGGGCAAGTCCTTTCCGAGAGGGGACACCACTCTGTTTGACGTGCAGGTGATGCACGCCAGGGGAGACAGGAAGGACTGGGTGACCTTCTGCAGCCACGCTGGAACTGGTTTGGCCTCATCCTGGTGATACAGGCGGAGAACGACGATAGTGCAGAGTGTGCCTGCAGTGCCTACACACATGACCACGGACAGGTACACCTCTGAAAAGGACAAATAGTGAGTATCTACATTTACTCATGGGTGATGTACACGTGTACATCGGAGGTTTATTTACTGAACAGTATGTGTATTCTAGCGCATACCCCATTGAACAGTTTAGAAATCGAATATTCTTGAAGAGATTGCTACTATATCTATATCTTCAAGCTTATATATCATATAGCTGCTACAATTCTTCCTCTCCATATCATACAGCTGCTACGTCTTCTTCTGGTCTATATCGCACAGTTGGTACTATTATTCTACTCTATATCATACAGCTGTTTTCTTCAGGTTTATATCACACAGCTAGCTGCTACTATATATTCTATATCATACGGGCAGTTGGGGTAGCCAAGTGGATAAAGCATTCGCATTCATGCAGTAGACCTGGGTTCGATTCTCTACTTGGGTACAATGTGTGAAGCCCATTTCTGATGCCCCCGCCGTGATATTGCTGGAATATTGCTAAAGGTGGCGTAAAAACCTACTCATTCACTCACTCACTCACTCACTACCATACAGCTGCTATTGTTTCCTCTGGTCCAGATCATACAACTGCTACTATATCGTCTGGTCTATATCATACAGTTGTTACAGTTTCTTCTTGTCCATATCATGCAGCTGCTACTATATCGTCTGGTCTATTTAATAAAGCTGTTACAGTTTCTTCTTGTCTATATCATGCAGCTGCTACATTTTCTTCTGGTCCATAGCATGCAGCTGCTTATTTATTCCAAAACACTGACGATCTGTTCCACTTTTTACCAGTCTGTTCTTTGTTTATATTGAGAAATGAGAATGTGTCATATCGGATAAAAAAAAGTAAGTAAGAATACGCGTATTGTTTCGTGACTTACTTCGCTTCCGTCTTGTATGATGGGTGCTGATGATGCTCCCTGTGCAGAGTTGCAGCCTTTGGGCGCGCCATAAACCTATGATCGTTGGTTCGAATCCTGCTAAGCCCCGGCCACGTTTCTAGGTTTGTCAGCACCCTTGCTCGTGGGTTTCATCAAAGTAAGAAACGTCTGAGACCTGCATCACTTCGGTCGGGCTTTCCATCCACAGTAATCTCACATACAGTGATATAACTGGAATACTGTTTATAGCGGCGTTAAACCCAACTCACTGACTCACTTCCTCACTCAATCACTAATGTTGCTACGATCAAGGGAGTAACTTAACAGTGCAAATTGTTGCCTCACAAAGCCCATTGGGTTCAGTTAGTGAAGCCCGTTTGTGGTTGGCTGAAATACTGATGAAGGCACCCTAAACTCTCACTCTAACACATCTACAACTACTAACTGTACATCTGATGGAACTATTGATGATGTAACGTCTACCATCACATCCGCCACTACTTCACTAAGCCACTCACGGATGATAGACGTCTGACTGGATATGGGCGGCAGGTTGGCAGCTATCATAGTCAGCAGGACGATGTAGGACAGGAGGACAGTCAGACAGTACCCCATCTTCTCCCCAGACTCTATCGGCAAGGCAAACACCACCATCATTAAGATGGAGTTGAGGATAAGGGGCAGCATGATGTTCAGGCCATAGAACTGCCATTTTCGACGGACAGTTACCTTGAACACCAGTTTCCGGAATGTCATAACGCCCTGGGTCACGTTAGTGTATTCATATCCAGTGCCCAACATTTGCCACTCTCCATTACCGGTGAAATACTTCATGTCGAACGGACTGTTTGGGTCAGTGAGGAGGTCTACCTCATCCGTGGTGTAACTCCAGCCAACCAGCGTCAGAGAACATGTCTGCTTGTCATAGGGGTAGTACGTTATGTCTGCAGAGCAGCTGGAGGTCGTAGAGATGGGGGGAGACCATACTACATCGCCGCTGGGGAACACTTGGAGAGGGGTTCCGTCGCTTCCTAGGACAGCCGGTGAGTTGATGCTGGGGAGGGAAGAGACTGGTGTCAGTGATTCAGGTTATGTAAATTCAAAACGTCAACGCCACATGATAACCAGTCCCGGAGCACCTGCCGTAACAGAAGGTTCCATTGGGCGCTAAAGGGTGAAGGCGGCGCAAAAGAAACGGTTTTTGGTCACTGTTTCAAGAGATACAATTTTATTCTGAGAACAGATGTAAAATATTTTTCACAATGCATGGAGATTATGCTTTGAGGAGAATGGGTAGTAGTTTATGTAACTACGAGTGTTTTAATTTGAACACAGTATTACTCACAAACCAAATAACGCATAATATTACTCACGTCCTTGGTGTAGTAAATGCCACAGTTCGCTCATGTATACATACTCATTTTCAATGACCAGTGGTGGCTTCCAGATGTATTTGGTGTTGACAACCATCCTCTGTATTCCTCCCGCAGATGCCGGGTCCCACGTCAGTCGAGGGTCATTCCAGAGCTGTCGACATGTGTCAATACTGTACATGTGATCATTTCAATACTGTACATGTGATCATGTCAAGGGACATACTTGTATGTGTGATTATGTCCAGGGTCAATTTTGTAAATATGATCACGTCGATGGTCAATACTGTTCACATGATCATGCAATTGTGTCAATAATGTATGTGTGATCATGCCTATGTGTCAGTATTGTACATGTGATCATGTCAATGTGTCGATATTGTACATGTGATCATGTTGTGATTCTTTTAGATAATAGATAACTCAAAACCTATGCAAAATCCGACATGTTTTACTGTGGGTTTTTTAACTTACTATACACTATGGGTGCCACAGGAATAGAATCTCATCTTTATTCATTTATTTTTATATGCGAGAATGTGCTATACTAGTAATAAAACACTTATTTTGAAGTTGTCAGAATAGATTGTCATGCAAAATGTGACCTTACAGTGTCCTCATATGATCTACTTTGATAATATGAAACATATTTACGTGATTTGTTTATCGTGCATTTCTTGTTTTATGAGTAAGATCATGAACTGCTTAATTAGGCATCCGAAGTACAATGAACTACACTACTGGACAATCAATGCAATTAAAATGTTAAAACAATCCTTCATGTGAGATCAAAAGATAAGATTCATTAAAAAGTATAAAACAATATTTATTGAATGTGTATTAATCGTATATAAACTAGTGTCCAAAAGAAACGATACCACCTGTTTGCAACGACATAAAAGAAAAACTAAACAATGCAGAAGTTTAGGATTGGTGTTATGCTTTTGAGAAATCCTTTCACAACATCTGTACAAAAATTTCAATTCAATAAAATCTGTACAACCAATATGACAAGCCTTTAAAGATGGGTGGGGTCGAAAAATGAACATTTCGTTAGAGCAATGATCACAGAAACAACGGGAAATGTCACACCACACGTCTCAAAGTCAAGTCAGTAGCGGGTATGTCCACCGTGAGCATCAATACATGCCAGAACACGCCTACGGACTGATGACGTCAAACGTCTGATGACGTTGGGAGTGATGCGTTGCCATTCCTCGAGGAGACATCGTTCCAAGTCCTGGACGTTGACTGGAGACACACGGCGACGTCGGGTTTGCCGATCGAGGTTGTCCCATAAGTGCTCGATGGGATCATGTCCGGTGAACATGCGGGCCATGGCAAAACCTGTACGTTGGCGTTGGCAAGGGGTTCTGTGTCAATCTTGCTGTGTGTGGCCTTGCATTGTCATGTTGAAAAAGGAGTCCACGAGGCTGTTGCTGAATAAAGGGCACCACAACAGGCCGTAGGATGTCATCAAGATAACGCTGTGCATTCAGGTTTCCACGAATTACGACAAGCATCGTTTTGACGTCACCACATATGCCACCCCAAACCATTAACCCTCCACCTCCAAACGGCCGGACCTGTTGGATACAGTTAGGCGCCAAACGTTCACCAAATCGTCGGTATACAAGCTGCCGTCCATCGTTTCTGAAGATGAGGAATCTGCTCTCATCAGAGAACATAACACGTGCCCAGTCCCGCCGTTGCCAACGTCGAACTCGCCTGGCCCAGATAAGTCTGTTGTTCCGATGTCGAGGCGTCAGGAGCGGTCCGCGGTAGGGATGACGTGGCCGGATACCATACTGCCGTAGTCTCCTGTAGACGGTCTGTCGACTGATCCTGTGTCCCAGTTCTGTAGCCGCCGTGGACGTCGCTGCTACGATGCGGTTCCTCAGGTGTAATACCCGGATGTAACGATCTTCACGGGGCGTGGTTACTCGTGGTCTTCCACTCCTTGGCCTGTCTGACGTCTGACCTGTCTGACGTAACCGCTGCATCAACCTGGTGATAGTGATGCGTGCGCAGCCCAACCTTCTGGCGACGTCGACGTGTGACGCTCCTTGTTGGACCATTCCAACGGCTCTCTCTCTCGATGGCTGTCAAACGTGGCATATCTTGTGTTCTTTTTGTGTTGATGTGATATCAACGTGTCTGATCAGCCGTTTTATACAGTTTTTCTGCACGTGCAGAACATGCTAGAGAGGGAAATGTCACTTTCACGAAATTTACGTTTTTTCCCGGAAGTGATCACGTGTTCCCGGTATTTTTTATCGACTATGCTGTGTTTGGGATGTGAAATACGAATTGGCATGTTTTCATACTTGACAATTCACTTAGTAAAAAACAATTTTGAAAATAAGTTGGTATCGTTTCTTTTGGACACTAGTTTATTTTATTTACTGGATTTGCTTTTTATCATCATCAATTGCATCATCATCATCGCCATCATTAATATACTCACAACCAACAAAGCCCCGGACAAGGACATGGTTTCTGCACCGATGTTCTGCAAGGAATAAATGGTGTATCAGAAATACAGCGTAGGTTGGATTCATTAAAAGGGTTACCTTCCATCTCTGTTGTTCTGCATGGCGTCCTGGTGGAATCAAAATAAGGGTTTGCATGAAATGAACCAATGGTCGTGTCTTATATATTTGACAGCTATATAAGCTATATAACATCATAGTTTTTAATGTGACCCCTATGGTCTGATGGCAGTCAATGGAGTTTGGAGCCACTTCTCTTGCAGAACTGCAAAGACACCACATGACATTGCAACACACAACGTCCAAGTTGATTTCACAGATGTTGGCCTTTTAGCTGGCCAAGACAATCCTGGTATATTCCTCTTCCAGACTTAAACAACGGTTAGCATGGCCCAGTGCACGTAGTGATGACTCCATATTACCAATCAGTGGAATGCAACAGCCCAAAAGAAACAATAAGAATGTACACAATATACTGAACCGCAAAAAATGTCACCATGGATAGATGTATGAGGAACCTTATTTGTCCAAACAATGTAAACATACTTTGAGACATATCAAAAAGATGAAACTTGGCAAAACTGATCATCAAGGTTGAAATTAAAGTGTCAAATTTCTTATTGTGAAACACAACACTAGTCTCTGAGAAAATGGCACCACAAGTCAGCATCTTGTGTGTCCGCCATGTGCATTGATGACTGCCGTTCAACGTCGATACATGGAATGGATGAGGCGGTTGATGAAGGCCATAGGCACTTGAGCCCACACTCTGAGGAACGCCTAATGCAGTTCAGCTGCAGTTGTCGGCCTTGGTCATTCAGCCGTCTTTGAATCTCTTCCCACAGGTGCTCAATGGGATTTAAATCAGGATTGAGGGCAGGCCACTGCATGGTTCTCATGCCAATTTGCTGGAGTAAGTCTCTTGTTGCTCTAGCAGTATGTGCACGGGTGTTATCATGTTGAAACTTGTGGTTGCGGCGACGTGCCAAATGAGGTATGGCGTGTGGTCTCAAGACTTGACATATGTTCCAAGCTGTTGTGACACCATTGCCTCACCCTGGACCGATGTTCTGTAAAATCACAGGGCTGACCCTCTGTGCACGACCAATTCCACCCCACACCATGATGCTCAGACCACCCCACGGCTCTCGTCTGAGAAGAGGACTCTTATCCACTGCTGGTGGCGCCAATGCTGGTGCTGTGTTGCCCACTGAAGACAGACCTGGCGATGACGTGGTGTCAGAATGGGTCCTCGGCGTGGCCTGTGACAGTGGAGGTGTCTGCTCGTCAATCGTCGACGCACGATCTCCGCACTAATGTGTTGCTGGTGTGTCCCCATGGTCTGTCGAGCAGTTTCCCCAGCAGTAATAAAGCGATCTTGAAGATGCTGTCGCACAATCTGACGATCCTGACGTCGGGTGGTGACCCTTGGTCTTCCACTTTGTGGTCTGTCATCTGTAGTGTTGGTTGCCTGGTACCGTTGCTCGAGCCTGTATATGGTCCTCACCTGGACTTGAAATGCATTGGCTACGTGCCGGGCGCCTTGTCCAGCTTGCAATCGTCCAAGGGCTTGGTGCCGCTGATTTCTTCCAGCTGATCTTGGCATGTGGTAGGAATTCAATAACGAATGAATGTTATCCGATCTGGGTAGATTTTTACAGGGCAAGAAATGGTGGAACGCATGTGCATTTCAATTTGAATGGTACTAACATGCATTGGGTTACTATGGCCGTTGCTGTGATGCGTTTGGGCGATCGGATTTATTGTTATCTGCTTTGTTTCATTTCAATTTCCGGTCAAGGTAATGTTAAATTTTAGAAACTTTGACAAAAATTAACCAGATATTTAAATGACAACTTTTCATGCAATGTTACTTGGGGTGACGTTTCTTTTGCGGTCCAGTATATGTATACAAATATAGTATTTTGGTACATGTATTACATGTATGTAAAAATGCATTTAAGCAGATATTGTCCATTAAAATGCAAATCTGTTTTTCACAATAGTCAAAGCACAATAAAATGCCACAAAGCAAAATCTCTTTAAGTCCAGTTTCAAGAGTATAGCCAAGAGGTGCATGGCCAAGAACTCCCATGTCAATAGGTGTCTTCTGTCCTTATCTGGCCTGGTGCCGGAGAGGAACAAGTCTGTTGTCAGCTTCTCGTTTCCAGTTGGGTGGAACTTCCCAAAGTCAGTCTGGGCCAACTTTATCTTGTTTGCTTTACCTTTTCATCAATCCTCTTGACCTCAACAAATCAAATGTTTGGGTGAGAATGAGGCAGGGTTTTGTTGAGACGGTTATGGGGCCCCTGTAAGTGAGTGTACGAGGTCCATCAGTCAGATGGTGCTTTCACAGAGGCAATGAAAATCGTGAATTTTCATTCACCTAGTTAGACTTCAAGACTTCAAGACTCTTTTATTCTGTAATAAAGGCCTCCAGCCCAGAGTACATGTATATATAATCAAGTCACAACAATTTTAAGTTACAAACAACAATTACAATCATTAAGAAGAGATCTACTATAATCATCAAGAGGAAGTGAAGCATTCGTAAATTGTATATAGAGTTGTCTCCCTTTAACTTATGAGATAAACCTGCCTTGCCTGCGTGCATTTAACAATATAAAGTGCTAAAGATTCTGACAGAGAATTATCTGTCATAACTTTCTCAAATTTGTCGAGAGTACAAAGATTACTAGTACAAATACTTGGCAAAAGCATATTTCTGAATTTGTAATACAAGTAACATGATGTAATAAAATGAACTTCATCCTCCACAATTGATACACTGAGATTATCAAAACAATATTTACATACTCTATCCTCTCTAGCAACTCCTCCCCACCGCCCAATTTCAACAGCCAGTTTGTGGTTACCACATCTGAATCGACTAAGAACAATTCTTAAATTTTTACTCTTCATATTGTGCAAATACCTTTCAGGCTCCAACACTGATTTGATAATAGAATAATTATAAAGCTTACTTGTTTCACTTATAGATAGTGCCCATGTTTGTTTCCAACAAACCAACACCCTGTTCAAACCAAACTAGACCAAATCCAAGTCTGTTCAATAGATATTTTATTCTAGTTGCCCATGTGGCTCTACCAGCCCCATCTAACTGATATAACATCAGATAGCAAGCCTTAGGATACCTATTTGTGGACATGTTTAATATTTTCAGCCAATACTTAATTGAATTGAACATGGTTGTTACATGTAATGGATACCGTCCTAGCTCCCCATACAAGACTGCTGCTGGAGTGTTTGAATTAACATGGAGAACTTTTCTAAGAAATTTGCAGTGCACATTTTCTATAACTTGGACACTTTCAAATCCCCAAACACATGATGCATAACATAAGACTGGAGAAACCATCCTATCAAATAGAAACAAAGACTCTTTAATGTTAAGCTTAGACTTTTTCAAAAATCCAAACACCTAGTTAATAACCATGTAGTCACTGAATTCAGTGGCTCTCTGAACTTCTTGCCTGGAGTCCATGACCTCCAGCCATGTCTGTGCGCGAGAAGGGCAGCGTCACCAGATGTCTAATCTACTATCATACAGCTGGATGTTCTTTATACTTGACAGCAATGCTCAGATCTTAGGCTTTCCTCCATATCCCCTGTCCAAAGTAGAAGAAGCAGCGCTTCGTTATGGCACCTGGAAATCCATCTTCAATTGCATGGATTGCAGCAAATTCAAAATCTTGTCTGGACTCTTTGATGGAGCAAAGGGCCAGTTGAGTCTATGTTGCACTTCTCTCTGATGAGGCTGAAAAGTCTGCTGTACGTTTCTTTCTGACGACCTGGCAAAAGGCATAGGGAAATTGGTAGGATATGGATCATGTACCCGCATGTATGATATATACTTTGTTCCGTATGTCAGGGCAGGCGTACCATCCTTGTAGATAGTTTCAGCAGACTGTAGAGATTCAAGTTGTTGCTGAGTTGAGAAGGCCAGGATCTTGTCATCTCCATCACTGACGAGAAGAAAGGGCTGATATCTGTGTCCATTCTCCTTCCAGCTGCACTTCAGCTCTTGTCGGAGAAGAATGGATATAGTCTTCCTTTCTTTGTCTGTACATAGCGCTGAACAAAACTGGTAAAGATGATCGGAATGGAATCAGATCCTGGTCCTGTATAGTGACTTAATCGTTGTACAGAGCATACATCTGGGTGGTTTCATCGTCGTCTCTCTTACTGGTGGTGCTGAGAAACTCGAGCTTTTTATCCTCTGGAGTGTTGGAATGTTCAGTGACATTTCTGAAAACAATGCCTGCAGTGGTACATCGTCCTACAGTGAATGCAAGTCTGTGTAGTAATATTCTTGTTGTACTTGAAAGGCACCCTTCTGTGACATGACAAACTTCACCTTCCTCAAACCATCCCTAGTGATAACCCATGTTGTGGTTTTTGCTTTAAGGGTTCATAGAGGTCCGGCTGAGTGTCCCCAGCTGCAGACGTGCCTGAAATTGCCTGTATATACATTCAGGTCTAACCCAAGCTTACTTACTTACTTAAATTGGGAATTTAATATGCCTATTTCGCGCACGGTAAAGAACCCATGCTGAAGTTCTTGTAGATTATATACCTGTACTTGTAGTCAAAATTATATTCTTTCTACCCTTCTCCACTTAATTTTGTATCTATATCCTTCTCCAACTTATTTTCTCTATAATTGCTTCTCTAACTTACATGCATATGCAATCCCTTAGTTGTTACAGCTAAAATAACTAACCACTGTTGGATCTTAGGTCTAGTTAATCCATGTCATTTATCCCGGCTTGTCCTACTACTAATTAATCATCTTGTGTTGTTTCGTTTTAACAACAGGTAAACCTTTTGTCCATTGCCATTTCCATTGTATTACCTATCAATGCTAATTACCCACGGCCTCCCGTTGTCCATCGCCAGCAAATATCAGCGCTAATTTACTGTAAAGTGATGGCTTTCATTTGTCTGTTGCTAATCTTCTATCATCGCCAATTATCTGTTGCTTTCCCTTGTCAGGTCTCCCCCTTTGTGATTATATTACTTTTGTTGTTCTTACATGAACATATACTCAACAACAAAAGTTCCTGTGACACCAATATTTTAGTGTATTTTTCAAACAAGTAAAGTTTGGTTTCCAATAATGTATGGAATCAGGTCACAAAAACGCAGCTGCTATAGAATAGCATGCATTTCATGCAACAGTTGATTTTTATGCAAGCCCATGCATTTCACTACCCAAGAATGGGTATAAAAACATGTGCGTTAACGGAATTCCATTTGAATTGTTTAGCATCGTGCTGACAACAACCACTCAGAAAAACAACAAAATTACGTAATTATTCAACACTACGAAATGACATGCCTGTCCGAAAATGAGCGTCTGCGAGCCATTGGTATGCTTGAAGCAGGATCGAGTCAACGTGATGTTGCAAAACATTTTAACGTCCACAGAAACGTTGACAACAGACGAATGCAGTCAGAGACCATCCTCGGAGTGGCAGGCCACGCGTAACCAATAATCCACAAGACAACTGGATTCGAACAACACACCTACGAAATCGATTCCAGCCAGCAACAGTGATTGCATGAAGCATCCCTGGCCTTCGACGAATATCTTCAAAAACCGTACGTCGTCGCCTCAGATGTGCAGGGATTGTCGCCAGAAGACCCACCAGACGTCCCATTTTGACAGGAAAACACCGTCAAGCACGTCTACAGTGGTGCAGACAGCGTCTACGCTGGACGGCCAAGCAGTGAGGACAAGTTCTATTCACTGTCGAGTCTCGTTTTCACCTCGGCCACAGCGATGGACGGATTCGAGTGTACCGACGTCGAGGTGAACCTTACGTCAATCATTGTGTCATGGAAGAAGATCGGTTCGGGGGCGGCAGCGTTATGGTATGGGATTACAGCAAGACAGGGACCCGTTTGATAGTGGTAGAGGGAAATCTCAATGGACAGCGCTACTGCGACGAGATCATCGGGCCCAGTTGTTCTACCGTTTTTGCGTCGTCATGGCCCAGGCATTACCTTTCAAAATGACAACGCCCGGCCTCATATTGCGCGACTTGTTCAGGATTCCCTTCAACAAACCAACGTGAATATCATCCCCTAGCCGGGTCGCTCCCCTCATCTCCCACCAATCGAGCACATGTGGGATGAGATGGATCGGCGCCTTCGACGTCAACCACGTGTTCCACAGACACTCCAGGAACTTCGAAACATGCTCCAGCAGCTATGGACAGATATCCCACAGGAATTTGTGCGACGCCTGATTCCATTCCATGAGACGAAGATGTGTTGTTTGCATCGCAACCCGAAGTGGACACACACGCTATTGATTTGTAAATTGACATTTTGGTATGTTAATGTTTGTTTTATGAAACCACGTATTTTTGAAGTCAGTGTGGCATATTAAACCATTTGAACACTTACAGGAGTCTTTTATCTGTTGGAAACCGAAATTGTTTCAGATTTGGTAAAAAACATAACTTCGCATTAAATCTTATTCAATGTCAAAGGAACTTTTGTTGTTCAGAATATATATATATGTGTGTGTGTGTGTGTGTGTGTGTGTGTGTGTGTGTGTTCTCCCTCATAGCATTTATTCACCCATACAAGGCAATCCATGGGTGATAGCCTGCTGTTAGTATGTCTTTCCCGGGACTTCGTTGCTTCTGGATATTTTGGAATACCTCCTTGCTGTTATCACTTACGAGGCTTCCGACTATCGAGGTTTCCGACTACTGAGGTTTCCGTCTACCGAGGTTTCCGACTATCGAGATTTCACTTCAGTTCACAGGCGGGTATGTAGGATACACTTACCACATCATTGAGAGCAAACAGCAAGATGGTGGACGTGACGACAGTGTACTGTATCGGTCTGACGTCCACGCTGGTGTTGGCTCGAATGGATGCCAGAAGAGCAATTTCATCACTCGAGTAGTCTCCCCTCGTTGCTGTGACTGTAACATTTTTAAAAATTTACCATTCAATTTTTGAGGGCGAGAGAGGCTAGGATCACACGATGGGATGATTTTTAAAAGAGAAAATTATTACTTCTACAATTTGTTCGTCTGAAAGTAGGTGATACCATCACGGTTTTTTTTCAGGACATCTCCAGTAAACAAGAATTTTCATTTTAAACGAAATTTTTTTGGCCATTATTTTTTAACTAACCCCGTAAATGGTCAGTCCGCTTCAGAAAAAGAAACTGAACAGTCGCCGATTATCTATGAGAATAAGTTCATTTTTTTTATAAATACACTAATGATGGGAACCGCTTAAAACAGTTCTATTAGACCCGTTAATCCGACAGTCTCGCATTCCGACTTCGACACACCTAATTTGCAACGAACTGCCGAAATCACTCATTAATCAGTCTCGTTAATCCGACACAGTGATCAGCATACTCCGTGGTCATCTGCCCGTGAGTACATAGCCCGTGTTTTGATGCGAGACGAGTGGGTTGGTAGCTGCATATTACAACGGAGATATAAATTTGCTTAAAAAACAATTAATGCTTAAAATAAAAAAGCCAGGATTAATCACATGCTTAGATTACCTCAATCTCATTAAAATCAGATACCAGTTCTCGCTATCGCCGAGGACATCACATTACAGGTCATGTCAGAAGAACCTTTCGCGAACTAAAAGGAAATGCCTAACAGGAAGCCAACGTTAGCCACTAAGAAAGCAACTTTCTTAAGTTTTGCGTTACCAGTTTCAAACTGACGGCTTCCATTCCAGACTATGCTTTTTAAAGTATTTTGAATAAGTCATACAGTCCGTAACATTTGTTTTGTGCTAAGCTTGAGAGTTTGCATGATTAGAAAACATTCCGTTAACAATGTAACATAACAATATCAATATTTCATTTTTCATTTTTTTATTACGTGTTTGTATCGTTACCTATCGCGTAGTTGTCCTATTTTCGATCACGAACGTTGATACTACTTAATTTCGTTTGTCCAACAAACTCGTTAATCCGACATAATCACATGCAACCAACCATGTCGTATTAACGGGACTTGACTTTAAAAGTTTCATATGTGATAATTCAGTAGCTGATTGTACCAGACAGGTCTAATGCCGTCTGGATAGTACTAGCTCACCGAGATACCACGCCGCAGTTTAACGCGCATACACCACTCGGACACAGGATACTGACTCCGAGCCGACCCGCCCTTTTTTTATCCCAATAATACTGAGGACCAGGCAAGATAACAACAAGTACCATCTTTAAACGTCGTTTTGGTATGACGCGGCCGGGGATCGAACCGCCGACCTTCCGTTCTCCGGGCAAACCCTATCGACGAGACCACGCAGATGGCCTGTTACGACGTAAATTGTAATAAAAAGGTAAATTGTAATACTTGCAGCAAATTGTAATAATTTTGACGTAAATTGTAATAACAACGTAAATTGTAATAACATTTGACGTAAATTGTAATACGCAAATTGTAATAAAAATTGACGTAAATTGTAATAATCTCTACTTGCGGCAAAATGTAATAAATTCTTACGTAAATTGTAATAACCTTACTACCGTAGTGTCCAAGACCCCAATTGACTAGAAATGATCTTTGTCAGTTGAGCTTGCGTTTCACATGTACAATTCGAAAAATTCTTTGTATGATGACTAACGTACAAAACTGTTAAGTTAGGGATGGTTGGTATAGGCTTTATCGTACAATCGTCATTAAAGGGTGGTGTCAAAATCAATAAATTTAAATGACTGAAAGATCCATCCCCGGGTTCAAAATGATGGGTTACACAACCGTATATTCGACAAATAACTTAATTGTGACATATTGTTCAATACTCTTATAAGGCTATTCAAGATGTTTTTTGCATGACTTGCTTCAACAGTACGTTCGACACGACTGAACGAGTGATGACGAAGGGTACAAACACAGGCTGGTCAACCAGTGTGTCGATTTGCAGTGGAAACGCTATACGAGTTGATAAGGAGTACATGATCCTTTTCTTGAAACAAACGAGGGAATTTAATCATATTTATACAATTCATTTTATTTTGACGAAGAATTCAAATACAACAAATGAGTTGACAGATCCCGTGCATACACAAATAACATCCGGTATCTTCGGATAACTCTTGTACAGTTTCAAAGAGTATACGAATTATTATAAAATTCTTGCAGTAAATTGCTGAAATATATCTGCTTGTATCCAAATAGAAAGGAATTGAAATTTTATAATGGAAATATGTTTGTCACTAAAGTAAATTTTCTCTTTGACGTTGAAACGTACTTGAAGATCATTAAACTCGACAATCGTTGGTGGATTGCGCCAAGAAACCTTGATACGAATTTTATACGTACAATAATCCCCTGAAACCATAACCTCCTCTGAAAGATTAAGAGGATTAAAGTAATTTGGGCTAACATCAAGCACTGTAATAACATACTCTCTTAAAATTCCAATGAAATGACTGGTGACTTACCAAAAAGTCAAATTATATAACTAGTTCTAATTGCCCAGCCATATTACTTTTTTTCTGAAATTGAGTTAAAACTTCTAAATTTGAGACTGCAATATTTGTCTTCAGAGGGTATTCCATACACTATGTAACAACTGTTTAACCCCATTTCAAATTTGGTTTCATGCTGAATCGCTCTTTTCAACTAATGCTAACACACTTTAAATGCAAGGAAAGCATCCCAAACATATATTTTTATATATAAATACATTGTGTTGATAACCACGTACTTAACCTAAAGAAAGAACACTCAAGAGAGTTTATATATACTCTTCAAAAAAAGAAACTTGACACTGACTTTCAAAATGTAATATAATGCGATTGTTTCAAAATAGGACACAGAAACCATAATTGAAACACTGTTTGAAGATCAATGTACACAATGTTCAAAACATTAATCGTGTCACCTAGACAGACACACGTACACGATACAGTTATGTCACAGGGGTACAGAAAATGTCAGTATCGGTTGTGTCAATAACACGCTGTTGGATGTGCTGCCATTCATGCTGAAGTGCATCAAGAAGCGCCGGAAGTGTTTGGGGCGGTGGATTCCTTCTGCGAACGCGTCGATCCAACTCTTCCCACAGATGCTCAATCGGGGACAAATCTGGTGACCGGGCTGGTCAAGGTAATGTCTGGATGTTGTTGTGCTGTAAGATGTCCTGACAAACACGTGCAATATGCGGTCGAGCGTTGTCCTGCTGGAACTGTCCGCCATGAACGTTGACGTGAGGAAGAACGTAAGGCTGTAGGATCAAGTCTCTGTAACGCACACCTGTCAATGCACCTGCCACATGCACGAGAGGCGTCCTACCACCGTGATGAATTCCGGCCCATACCATGACACTCCCGCCGCCAAATGGGACAACCTGCTGCACACAGTTGGGGGCGTAACGTTCACCCCGACGTCTGTAGACACGTGCGCGCCCATCAGCACGTGTGAGTAGGAAACGGGACTCGTCAGTAAACAGTACATTTCTCCACCTTGCACGTGCCCATCTAACCCTCTGTTGGCACCAAAGCAGACGGTCCGCCAGATGACCTGGGGTCAATACATGACGTCGAACAGGTCTTCATGAAAAAGTCCAGTCTGTCGTCAACTCTGTTGGTGTTGTTGTATCGGGTCCACAGTGCGGAGATTGTCTGTCTGGATACGCCAAAGTGCCTGGCCACTTCTTGCTGAGTTGCTCCAGCTTGTAATCTCCGGATGGCGTTGTTCCGTTGAGCTGCATTCAGCCTTGGCATTCTGTCACCGCCTCTACTGCCGTTATAAGGACTGTATGAACAGCCGTTGATGTGGATTTTTATACCCATTCAGCAGGGGGGCCTACATGCCTAAATGCAGGATCCTGTGCTGCACGTTTTTACAGGCGGTTGCATTTGGATGAAGCTGTAAAATTGATCCCCAAACGCTACGTATACGTGCTTTGCATGTGTTTTCGCGAATTATAGACACATCATCTTTCTGTTTGACTTATTTGGTTCTCATTTAATGTAATTATTTTAGATATTTGGCAAAAAGTGGTTTTACATCTATGTCAAGTTTCTGTTTTTGAAGAGTATATATACAACAATGTTCGATATATCAAGTTTCAAAAAGTTCTCCCACCCCACACTAAGTCATATTTAATGACGATTGTACGATAAATGCTCTACCAAACTTCCCTAAACAGTTTTGTACCTTTGTATATATATATGTAATTTAACTGTTCGGAGTACAGTTAAACATTATATATATCGAGCTATATTCGTACCGAAAAATTATATATATCGAGCTATATTCGTACCGAAAAATTATATGTATAATTTTTCGGTACGAATATAGTTCCAGATACTTTTGTCATGCAGTGAGAAAACATGCATGTTTGACACACACAGTTATTATATTTGTGAACAGTTATCCTTATACAACTATTGATATGTAATGGGACCTTGAAAAGTAATGATACCAATGACATAGAGCTCACATTTACTGTCATTACATACACACCTACATACGCGCACACACACACATACATACATACATACATAAATACATACATACATACATACATACATACATACATAAACACACACATACATACATACCTATGTGTGTATGTGTTTGTATGTATGTGTGTGTGTGTGTATGTGTGTGTGTGTGTGTGTGTGTGTGTATACTGATGAGGGCATAGTGTCGGAGATAAATATAATTTGATTTCTTAGATAGTCACTATTCTTTTCATTGGAATGTTAAGAAGGTATGCTATAATTTCAATATTTTATTACAGTGCTTGATGTTAGCTGGAATTATTTTAATCCTCTTAAACCCCCAGAGAAGATTATCCTCTGAGGTAATTTTTGTCCGTATATATGTCACAAATTAGTCATAACTTATGAAAACCGTAATTATCTGTTTCGACAATTATGTACCGCATTGTACGTGAGGTCCTAAATTTGGTAACAAGGTTGCTTGGCGCAATCCACCAGCGATTGCCGAGTTTAATGATCTTAGAATACTCTTCGTATAAGGTAAAAGAGAATATTTACGTTAGTGACAAAACCCTTTTTATTATAGATTTCTCATCCTTTCAATTTTGATCAAAACAGATATATTTCAGCAATAATTGATTGCAACAAATTTATTATACATTCTGATGCTCTTTGAAACTCAACAAGACATGCCCGAAGATACAGGATATTATTAGTGTATGCTTTGAATTATGATTTCGTGCCGTGATCATGATTGATTCTGTTTTGGTTGTTGGGGCAAGAGTTATTATCCCAGCAAAAGTTGTCAGTAAGTTGTTGTTAGTTCTTCATGACATATGAGAGGAATCCAGACAGTTAGATTTATTCATTTATTTCATTAAATATACTTCTTCCTATGAAAGGAAGTATTTTATGTTATATTAATGATCCATATGTTAATCATACATTGCTACAAATATTGCATAAGTTAACATGGTTTGCATTTATTTATTATTATTTATTTAACTGTGAGAAGTTCACAGAGATCGAGAATACACAATATCTAATAGTATATGCAATGTAGGTAAAGAATATCCACGCCCCTCTTTTGATATAAATAAAAACATTGTATATAATGTTATGTATTAAGTATTATCCTTTCCCATGCATGGGAAATCTATGCTGCATTTGCTGACGACTGTTTTTTTCCCTTTGACATTGCACAGGAGATCTGTCACTCATTTGTTGTATTTGAATTCTTCATCAAAATATAATGTATAAATACGATTGAATTGTCTTGTTTGTTTCAAGGAAACGGTCATGTGCTCCTTATCAAATTAAGTAAACCTCCAATGCAAATCGACATAATTTCAGGGTCCGGTTGCACAGAGCTCTCTTCGGTAACTCGTAACTCAATGTTATTGCAATGGACTCCTAGCTAAGCTACTATTGGATGATAAATCAATTAACCTATTTGTCGAATAGACGTACCTAATGTAATCCATCATTTTTAACCCGAGGATGGATCTTTCAGTCATAAATTTCGATGTGTACAGTTGCTAGAGTATTATTCTAACAATACAGACATGACGCAAGCTGCACGTAAAATAATTGATAAAGGTAGTCCTTGCGGGTTCACATACCTACATGTACATCGCCTAGGACATTGTCATTATTTGCTTTACATACTCCGAGCAACGTTAAAAAAATTGAAGCTTGAATAATAATAAATTGATATAATGTATATGAACATGTACAAATCAGCTTGCACACAGACTACTGCAGAATGACATGTCATCCATTTGCTAGTTTAGTTCAGTTTAAACATATTTTATTCACAGAACAAAATGAGAATTGTATCGGGGACAAGTTGCAACTTAGTAAACCCCTCTCCGCATAAAATATGTACAAATATACAGTTGCAAAATAAATAAATGTGCTTCAGTCAGTAAAAGTCATACTTTCCACATTTACACATCAATATATTTGTGTAAGTTTGTTACGTTATAATTATTCCATTGTGTATATTACTACCTACTTTACCAATTGAAATATGATTCCATTAGGTTAAATATGAACAATTATGATGAAAATCGTCAATAGGATATATTACAATTAAGTACAAAACACACAGAGTATTTCTCAAATAAATAAGAAAACTAAGTTCATTCTAGTAATTAATCCTCTTCTGGACAACCATAGAAATGAAATTCCAATGCGTTTATATATACATATAATTATACAACAATGTACGATAACGACCTCAATCCTCCCCCACACCCATACTTTGAAGACGATTGTACGATAAACCCTGTACCAACCCTGACAAGGATAGGTTCTAGTCATTTAACGCCTTTGACACTAAACTTATAAGGTTATTACAATTTACGTAAAAAGTTATTACATTTTACCGCAAGTTGAGATTATTACAATTTACGTCAATTTTTATAACAATTTGCGTATTACAATTTACGTCAAATTTTATTACAATTTACGTTGTTATTACAATTTACGTCAAAATTATTACAATTTGCTGCAAGTATTACAATTTACCTTTTTATTACAATTTACGTCGTAACATGGCCTTGTCGTACGAGTGGACTTAATGGATAGTGTGACATCATGCCCCGACAGCGTGGATCGTTGCACATAATATCAATACCTGCTTTGTCTTGTCAAGACCCGATTGTTCACAGCCGTCGTCATGTAGCAGGCACATTGCTGAGTACGGCGTTAAACAACGACCCAAAGAAACACTATTCACAAGATCACGTAAGGTAGATAGCACTCCTGTAGGAACAACAAAAACCCGTGTTCGCGCGTTTCACCAAAGTGGTAAACGTACTTCACCTTCATCACTTCGGGCGTTCCCCTACCTTAGCCGACACACCTAGCTATAACTGGAACACTGTTCTAAGCAGCGTTAAAACACAACTCCTGCACGCACTCATCCTGTAGGAAGAGTTTGAACATCCTTGTTTCACGACACGTGTTCGATAAATAAGACGTTCGTGATATCAGAAGGAGAAATGTGTCAAATATCTTACCAAGGAGAAGAAGCGCCAGAAGAAGTAGGAGGTAGGCCATCTTCACCCCAAGTTGGAACAAGTCTGAAAAGTAAACAGTGACACTATTTATCAGAAACAAACATGGAATGAATCAATACCTGATATAGAAATCTTTCATTTACGGTGCATTGGAAGTTATCATCCGCTATACAACACTGCCAACGATAGCGTCGCAATCCAATGCTGTAACAGTTAAATATTTACACTTATTACTCGCCCGGGAGGAGATCTCCCGCTTTATATTCATCTGTATTACATATTGTGTAATACCAAAGTGCGTGTTTATGAACTGCGGGCCCCGTTTCACAAGCCGATCGTAGCGCCACGGCAGCCGTAAGTCAATGTAAAAGTATGGAGTTACGATAACTTTAGCCCGACGATTGCTTTGTGGAACAGACCCCTGAATTTTGAAGGCGGACCGTTGTATGGTATTAAATTAATAAGTATCAACGTTTGACGTGTTTGAAGTATTATTCTGTTAAACTCAATTGGAGTAAGCTGTGGATCATGTAGTTGTCTGGCTATTCACACGCAACAGTGAAATTGAAAAAATATATAAAGGCTCATCCTATTTCTCATATACTTTTTATGAAGTGTAATTTATTTTTTTCATTACAAATGTAAAACCTTGAAACGTAATTTCTCCAAACCTAATAGTCAGGGACGTTTCACCACCACTTGTAATTGCGACTTCAAAAGTAGTTCCGAGTTTGCAGTCACTAAAATTCTTTACAATACATCGCCTTCAAACATATTCTTGAAAGCTACGAGTCCGCAGTTAGAAGCGTTCGATAACACGCAGGTCAAGTAACAAAAAATGCGCTTTGTGACAAGACCAGTCTCGACTGACAGATGGCCATCTGTCATAATTTTCCTTATCAATGTGGAACTTGACACTTACCATAAAAGGAGACGATTTGCTTGACAATAGTTCCGTCAAGGTGTTAAGTTCACTGCAGTGAAAATATCCCTTTTCTCAACATTGAAGTTAATAATAAATATATAAACGGCAAGTAATACATAAAATACTAACCTCGCTACTGTGTAATACCAATTTAAGAAAATATATGAATAGTTCTGGTTTAGTGTTCCGTATTTATACATCAACCCTTTGTCACTCATTTCAGTGTAAAAATAATTACTTTAGAAAATAAGTTTTATTACAAATAATTGTAGCATTACTGACAGTCAGAAATATCAAACGCTGTGTTGTTAACGATTGAGTGAAATAAAACAATTGCAAATCTAGCTCAGGTTATAAAATATATTTTCAATACAGTGAGTTGGCTTTGAACAGTAACGTAGTGGTGTGGCTGTGTCTCGGCTTAACGTGGCGGAAGGTGGCGCAGGGGAAAGGCGTGAACCACTTCAGGGATCCCGGGGGCACCGATGTGGTGCAGGTAGACTCAGGCTCGGGGTAAACAGGGATTCGGTCACAAGACCAGCGGATCCTGACACAACCAGAGAGGCGTGATGCGACATAGACTATTGGGCTTCTGGCGCGAGACACTACATACACGGTGAAGATATCAACCAAGAGAAATCTGACATTTAAAGTTGTTTACACGATGGATTAAACAAAATGGGTTTTTTCAAGCATTTACTGTCGCTATCAATATAAATAAATTATTTAAAATACTATGATAAAACCCTGTTGTCAAATGTCAAACTACCGTAGATCCATGCTCGCAGTGTCAATCACTGGATTATTTACAAACTGCCGATACAAAAATGGAAAATTGTTCGGCGTTAAACAACAAAGAACAACAATATTGTTCTGATTACGTAAGGTGACGTCAAAGGCAATGAGTGACCTCAAATGTTCAATGTGACGTCATTTACCTTCAACACATCAATCAGCATTGAAAACTGTTAAAATATCGGAAAATTATTTCATTCGAATTTGCAACGTTTATGGGTAATTCAGGAATGAATTATTATTGTAATGTTTAAACCAAAGCGTATTTTGTATGTATGTATAGGCAAGCAATATGACGTTGGTGTGTAAATAATCCAATCTGGACGAGATGAGGTGAGGTGAAATTGGTTTGACGTCGCGTCCAAGATTATTGATATATAGCAACAGGCATTCACGTGTGTGTGTGTGTGTGTGTGTGTGTGTGTGTGTGTGTGTGTGTGTGTGTGTGTGTGTGTGTGTGTGTGTGTGTGTGTGTGTGCGCGTGCGTGCTAGCGTGCGTGTGTGTGTGTGTGTGTGAGAGAGAGAGAGAGAGAGAGAGACGTTTAACGTCGCGTCAAAGATTATTGCTATATTATATAGCAACCTGTGTTTGTGCTACTCCGTGCGGACTAATGCCGATTTTATAGTGCTAGCCCACTGAGAAACCATTTTAACACGAATACCCCACTCAGACACAGCATACTAACTTGTTTTTGCCGGAGGCAAGGTAACAACAAGTACTATCTTTTAAGACCTTTTTGTACGACGCCGGTATGGAATACGAACCCCGGACCTTCAGCTCCCCGGACGAACGTTCTACCACCAGACCACGGTGACGGCCCGAATCTGGACGAGACAAATCAAACCATTGGTGTAGAATGACACCAAATCAACAAAAGTCACCGAAATTATCCAGTTAGTTGCATTGGTGATGTACCAACCGAACAGGATGTGAAGAACATGATGCAAGTCGTAATGTATGCCTTTGTGTATAACCTCGACGACACAGGCGGAGTTACAGCTAACCGTACATTTCTTTCCATGTGTGCAAGATACCAATAGTTTGCAAAATTTAGTAATAATGTTAAATTTATGAAATTACGTGTTAATTTATAATCATCTTAACATTACGTATGCTGGACACACTAAAAGAAAATGGGATTCAGTTTCATCGCAGTTGAGTTGCAAAAACTATATTGTCTTAAATTTCAGGGTATATCGAAGTGACGCCCACTCTAACTTTCTAGATCATGAACTTGAGCGAAAACGAGAAAGAACAATTTGCTTTTTGTTCAAATAGGTTTTCACAATAATAGAAAAGTGTTGCATAATAGGGCATTTTTGGACGTTGCTTAAACATACTGAGATATACATTATTTAAATGCCATCTTTTGAAATAACTATGTATCTCCTTTCCCCGATCTTGCTTATCATACAAGCATGTCATAACATCTTTGGGGTAAACGTCTCTGGGCATGGGGCATTGTCAAAATATTTAACCAATACGTCACACATCTTCTCATAGTATATATATATATATGAATGGAGTATCTACCACACTCACCTGCGGTGTTCGAGGCTAAACCGCATGCATGCATACACTTGTACCCTATCCAACTTTTCTCCCTGTTCGAACCCCCAAACGCCCTCACAATGAAGAACTGGCATTATGTTTGTCTCAAAGATTTTGAAGTAGAAACTGGTGAAAACAGTGGAAAGGAGAGTAAACTTCTCAAACTATATACAGTATCCATACATTCTTGGCCCGCAGAGCTACATTGTCACCTGGTTTAAACCAATTAAGCCTATAGTCAATACGTAAACCAAGATAGGTGTAACAACTTCAAGTATACTCTTCAAAAAAGAAACGCAATGCCATAAAAGCAAAACTAGCGGACCAAGAGGTGCGAAATGAGTGAGTGAGTGAGTGAGTATGGTTTTACGCCGCTTTTAGAAATATTCCAGCAATATCACGGCGGGGGTCACAAGAAATGGGCTTCACACAATGTACCCATGTCGGGAATCGAACCCGGGTCTTCGGCGTGACGAGCGAACGCTTTAACCCCTAGGCTGCCCGACCGCCCCAGGTGCGAAATGAAGAAGGTTTCATGTGTTGTAGTGTCAGTGACAAATTTCCCGGACCAAAATGATCACAACAAGGACATGCAAACCATTAGTCGGGAAACAAGTACGATTCGGAAAAAACGCACCCAGTGCCGCAGCACTATGAATGGTTTTAAAGTGCAGGGTAGCCAGGGTTTTCAATGTAGCGCCCAGCACCATCACAAGGCTGTGTGATTTGTTTCAACAGCATCGGTCAACAAGTGATCGGCCAAGGTCGGGACGACCAAGAGTTACCAACCCCGCCCAAGATCGCTACATCCGACTGCCCACCTACGTGAAAGGACGACCACAGCCACCTCAACCGCATCCCAAATACCCGGACTGATCTTAATCTCCGACCAGACCGTACGAAACCGTTTAAGAGCAGCAGGTCTACGAGCAAGACGTCCTGTTCGACGCGTCATATTGAGTCGACAACATCGTAAACAACGACTGCATTGGTGTCGTCAACACAGGGTATGGCCTCAACTGTAATGGAGAGATGTCTGGTTCAGCGACGAATCAAGATTTCTCCTCCGTCGAGGGGATGGAAGAGCACGGGTCTACAGATGTCGGGGAGAACTTTAAACCGGAGACTGCGTACAGGAGGTGGACAGGTTTGGTAGGGGTAGCGTTATGATCTGGGCGGCTATCTCTCATCATGGCAGGACAGTTTTGATCCATATCCAGGGCAATCTTACGGCTCAACGATTCATCAACGAAATTCTCCTACCACATGTCCTCCCAATTGCAGCCAACGGCAACGGTGTATTCCAGCAGGACAACGCTCGACCGCATACAGCACGGACCACAAGAGCCTGTCTACATAACAAAAACGTTGATGTTCTCTCCTGGGCCTCCAGATCCCCAGATTTGAACCCGATAGAGCACCTGTGGGATGAACTGGACAGATGGCTACGCCGACGTCAACCACAACACCAGACGTTGCAGCAGTTGGCTTTTGCGTTGCAGGCCGAGTGGGCTACCATTCCCCAGGATGTGATTCGCATACCCGTCTCTTCCATGGGCAGGAGATGCTATCGATTCCAACGGGGGACATACGCGTTATGATAGCTGACCTTCACCTTGGGCTTTTCCTATGTACCGATAACTGAGATGACAACAATCAGTGTGTATATAAAGCCTTTATAAAACAATTTCATAAAACGAGACAACCCACCACCGTTTTTGAAAAATACAATTTTAGTTTTAGACACATTGACCGACACTTTCCAAGTCTCACGAACATTCTCAAGAATATATAATGTTTTGGGAGATTGAAAACAGTATCACCAAACAATATCGAATCATCGACAAAGGAGAGTGTGGATTAAATGTAACTGCAGACAAACTGACGCCAGTCGTGCAAATTCTGCACTCTTTTGAACGGCGTTCACACAAAATGAGAAGATTATTCCATGATACAATTCATCACATACCTTGCTGGTTCATTAGAAACACGGTGTGCATTGCAGTGATGCGAAACTTGAAATCGTTGAAGAGTGACCATGTTGACGTTGGGTCATATCTCTTCAAATTCACGCCACGTCACTAAAAAGCCTGTAAAACCTCCAGTTCTCAAGCTCTATGTTACAATGTCCCAAGGCATGATCGTAGGTGTCTTACACACAGGTCCTATATGACAGATAACCAGTTGTGCTGTATATGCTCACTCCGTTATGGAAATATCAGCTCAACTGCAAACCCCGCCTAACCCGGCTGCCGTGTTTCCTATACCAAACTTCAAAGTACGAAACATTTTAATGATAATGAATTTGCTGCTGTTTGTCGAAATTTGGACGCAAAAATGAAAGCCCTTGCGCGAAGAGTCGCTGGAATTCAGGAGCAGAAAGCTGGTGTGTTGTCGCGTAGCCAGGAGGAAATGCTATGGGAGGTGGGGATCCAAGGAGAAGACACACTGCAACAACCGCTGGACACAGTGTTCTGCATCTGTTTCTGTTTGAGGGGAGGTGCTTAGCATCACGATTTATCGGTAGGAGAATTTGGTCATTTCGAAATCGTTATGAAGAATGGTGCCAAGCATTTGCGATATTTGGAAGGTGTAACTGAGACGAGCAACGGTGGATTAAAGCACAAGACGTCCCTAGGAAGTATATCATAGTTGGACCCAATACAGAAACTACTACCAGATGCCCAGTCAGACTTCAGGAGAAGAACATGTCACTGAGGTAACTATTACATTATCCGAAGTCAAACATTTTGTGAATGTGGTAATATGAAACTTTACAACATTTACAACTTATGGATCAGTCATTCATTCTAGAGTGAGTGAGTTTGGTTTTACGCCGCTTTTAGCAATATTCCAGCAATATCACGGCAGGGAAAACTAGAAATGGGCTTCATAAGGAAGGAAGAGATATAACGGGTGTCATATTTCAAATTCAAGCAAAACGAGATTCCATTACGAGGAACACAACCTTTCGAAGTACACGCTTATACCCCTTTATCGGATGAATGTATGCTAGGCTGCACAGAACGTATATGTGTACGTGTAAGATCAAAGTAATAAGATAACAAAGGTGGAAACTTAACAAGGGAAGCCAACAATTAATTATCGCTAAAAGGCGCCTAATTTGATTTTATTGTCTGTGCTAATTATCCATCTGGCCTCCATTTGTCCATTGCTATTACCAATCAGTGCTAATTACCCCCTCCCTCCCATTTGTCCATTGCTATTACCAATCAATGATAATTATCCCCTCCCTCCCATTTGTCCATTGCTATTACCAATCAGTGCTAATTATCCCCTCCCTCCCATTTGTCCATTGCTATTACCAATCAGTGCTAATTACCCCCTCCCTCCCATTTGTCCATTGCTATTACCAATCAGTGATAATTATCCCCTCCCTCCCATTTGTCCATTGCTATTACCAATCAGTGCTAATTACCCCCTCCCTCCCATTTGTCCATTGCTATTACCAATCAGTGCTAATTACCCCCTCCCTCCCATTTGTCCATTGCTATTACCAATCAGTGATAATTGTCCCCTCCCTCCCATTTGACCATTGCTATTACCAATCAGTGATAATTGTCCCCTCCCTCCCATTTGTCCATTGCTATAACCAATCAGTGATAATTGTCCCCTCCCTCCCATTTGTCCATTGCTATTACCAATCAGTGCTAATTACCCCCTCCCTCCCATTTGTCCATTGCTATTACCAATCAGTGCTAATTACCCCCTCCCTCCCATTTGTCCATTGCTATTACCAATCAGTGCTAATTACCCCCTCCCTCCCATTTGTCCATTGCTATTACCAATCAGTGCTAATTACCCCCTCCCTCCCATTTGTCCATTGCTATTTCCAATCAGTGCTAATTATCCCCTCTCTCCCATTTGTCCATTGCTATTACCAATCAGTGCTAATTATCCCCTCCCTCCCATTTGTCCATTCCTATTACCAATCAGTGCTAATTATCCCCTCCCTCCCATTTGTCCATTGCTATTACCAATCAGTGATAATTATCCCCTCCCTCCCATTTGTCCATTGCTATTACCAATCAGAGCTAATTATCCCCTCCCTCCCATTTGTCCATTGCTATTACCAATCAGTGCTAATTACCCCCTCCCTCTCATTTGTCCATTGCTATTACCAATCAGAGCTAATTGTCCCCTCTCTCCCATTTGTCCATTGCTATTACCAATCAGAGCTAATTATCCCCTCCCTCCCATTTGTCCATTGCTATTACCAATCAGTGCTAATTACCCCCTCCCTCCCATTTGTCCATTGCTATTACCAATCGGTGATAATTTAACTCCTAATTTATTTCGCTAATTAACCGTTTCTTGTAAAGTTTCCACCTTCGATAATTTATTAATTTTTTTGTCTATGATCTCTGCTTCCAAGCATTTATTAACCTGAAGAAGAAGTAAGCATCACGCGAAACGTTGTGTTCCTCAAGACGTGATCCTGTGAGATGTTTAAGACAGATATGTCTGTTCAGACCAGATGTCAACACGCTGGTCAACACGCAGTCCAAAGTCCCCCAACCTTCATTTAGTGAGTGAGTGAGTAGGTTTAACGTCTCGTCGGCATTATTTCATCTATATACTGACAAGATAACATTTGACATCAATAATACATATTTAAACTGTATAAAATCCTGTCGACGAAGGACAGTATAATAACTGGAATATATCAGATTTTCGTAAAACTAATTATAAACGGGCTGTAGATCGCCAGCAACTGAGGGTAGATCAGCACTCTAGGGACAATGGGGACTAACAATTATACTAACTATTTTAAAAGTTGATTTATTTATTTACAAAATATAGCAATCATAATTTATTAATCAGTTTAATTTCCTTTGAAAAAACAAGAACTAAAGGAGAACTTATCTAATTACAAAGATCCTTGATGGATGAAACTTTGAAGTACTTATCCCTTGTGATGGAAAAATGAATACAGTCAAGTAGGATCTGACAGCCCGAGTGCTGATGAAGACGGAAGTCAGCACAGGGTAAAAGCACCGTTCATAGTAACTCCAACTGCAATGGCCTGGAGATGAGCTGTAAGTGCAACAGGGCTACGGATAACATCATGCCTCACAGTGGTGGCCCTATCACCCGGGGGAGAAAAATAATGATATGCTTTGAACTGATGTAAGTTAAAATTATCTGTCTATTCTAGATAAGTTTCCTGCAGACAGAATGCTGGTGGTCTCAGACCCTGGACTAATAGCTGCAATTCATTAAAATTAGTCGTGTTGGGAAGTTGATTGTTCAAGTGAAAACAACCGTGGAGTTCACCCATATGAGATCTGTTTGGCAGTTCATTGAGTGAGTGGCGACTGGCGAAGTGGGGCGTTTCGTGGTGGTTTCAGATGGTCACGGGGGGCCCAGTCGTCTAAGGCGCCGCGATTCGCTGTTCAGAGTTGCGTCCCCTGGACACGCCAGAAACCTGTGATTGTGGGTTCGAATCCCGGTTCGCCCCGATTATGTTTCCAGGTTTGTCAGCACCATACCCGTGCTCGTGGGTTTCACCAAAGTGGTAAACGTCTGAGACCTGCATCACTTCGGGCTTTCCTCCCACATTAAGCTGACACGCCGTGATATAACTGGAATAATGTTAAAAGCGTCGTTAAACCCAACTCACTCACTCACTCACTCACTATGAAACGTGGCCAGTAATCAGTGGATTTCGACGGTCGCTGTTCATCATCAATTTCAAGTGGACGTTTTTTGTTTATTTTGGAGGGGGTTTTGTAATCCATGTTTAATTGTCAATGTTTCGTCACCCGAGCTCCCCACCCACCATGGAGTGTCATAAGGACGATGCCAGTAACACGTGGATCTCCAGCTTGACGCACCAAGGATACACGGATGATATGCTCATGCAGAATAATCAAAACAGTAACTATAATCCACCAGATTGGCCAATGAGCCACTTCCGCCTTCTGGACATAGGACTCTGGGCAAATTACATACTTGAAGTACATACATTTGAAATTCAGCTAAGACATCAGTGTTAAAAATCAGGGCCTAAGTCCCGCCGACACAGGGGCGCAACCCACGGCAAATGGGTTGCCCAATGCGGTCGCCTTTTACGACCAGCAATGGGGTGCTGAGGACACATTCTCATCTACCCCGGGCCCCACGGGGAACCTCCATTTAGCCTCTTATGACCAGCATAGGGTTGCGGGACCAATTCTATTTCGGAATAACCACGGGTGCAGTTGGCACACTATTACCTTTTGGTGAAATGGTAGTCTTTGATTACCTGTTTTAACAGTCGTGTGAAGAAACGCCAGTCAGTATGCCTCACATACATGTCTGCTTTCGTTAGTGGCTTTTCTAAAGACTATTACAGAGAAGAAGGTCTAATTTCTATTTCAGTAGTTCGGTTAGTGATAACTATATGACAAAATAGGAATAATAATAATAATAATTGACAAAAATACGTATAGCGGAATAGGTCTTATATACTCACTGTCACGGAAGCTGACTGTCCACTGATGTCCCACAACTCTCTAATCTTCACTTAACACGTCAACAGAGCTATTCAAATTTCATTCCATTTCATTCCTATTTACAAGCTCACTTGAACAGATAATCGACAGTGCATTCAGAATTGACGGAGGTCTTTCGTCAAACATAGGGAAAGTTATATTGACTGACGATCATGAGGTGGCTGTCTATATTCGCTACACCTTTAGTATAAGAACTGGGTGCGAGGTTTCAATAATTTATTCCAAAATCGATTCGAACTGGTCGGGCTGGGGATGTTGACAGCAGAGTTAATATTGCCGCGTTTGACATGTACAGGTTGCTAATGGTCTTACTGGAACAATGTATAAAAAGATTTCTGTAATGTGTGTGGAACCTGAACGATTTATAAAAAAAACAAGCTCGTATTTGGGCCATGATAACAAAGCTATATTTGATTGGGAGTGGACATCAATATAGTAATTTCGCAAATCACTTGATTGTTGTATGTATTATTTTGGTAATGAATCCACAATGTTATATATGCCGTCTGTTATCATTAAACTGGAATGTGTTTGTAACCTTAATGCTAATAGTCCTCGCGTTTTTTAAGTGTGACGTTGCCAAGCAACAATAAACATTTGCAGCATGTACATGGAATTGATACACACAATCCGGGTGTATAGTTAGACAGAAGTGACATGGCAGTTACCAATCGATCTTGCAGGTTAAATTTCGTAAACATATTACATTCCTCAGGACCTGGTAGGATTCTGTTAAGTTTATAAGTCCCCAGCAACCTATGCTTGTCGTGAAAACAGCTCAGTTGATCAGGTAATGGGGCATATTTGTGTGCGAGACCACCCGATCCCGTTAGATTCATCTCACAACAGACCCGTGAGTGAGTGAGTTGGGTTTAACGCCGCTTTTTAACATTATTCCAGTGTTTCACGGCATGTCAGCTTAATGTGGGAGAAAAGCCCGAAGTGATGCAGGTCTCAGACGTTTACCACTTCGGTCAAACCCACGAGTACGGGTATGGCGCTGACAAACCTAGAAATATAATCGGGGCGAACCGGGATTCAAACCCCCAATCATAGGTTTCTGGCGTGGCCAAGGGACGCAACTCTGCACAGCAAATCGCAGCGCCTTAGACGACAAGGCCACCCGTGCCCCCTAACAGACCCGTGAAGATCCCGGAAAGAATAGGTTTTCAGCAACCAATGCTTGTCGTGAGAGGGCACTAACGGGATCGGGGGGGGGGGGGGGGGGGTCAGGCTCGCTGACTTGGTTATTTACAGACCGCCGTCATATAGACGCAATATTGCCCAGTGTGGCGTTAAACAACAAACAAAACAAATATCTTACAACAAACATAGTCGCCTCTTACGGCAGGAATGGGTTGCTGAAGACTTTTCCAATTGCATAGACATGGTGTCCGATAGTCGATATTGTGTAGTAACCGCTGACAAAAAGCTTAGGTATTGCAGATTATTTAAACAACAAGCACACAAGTCAACGGTAGTGATAAATTTTGAACATTTTTATATTGAACTGTAACTTTGGAAATTGACACGTTTTTGTCGCTTAAAAATAACTTCTTTTTGGGAAAAGGATTTGACCGCGTCAGAATATCAAAGACACTTTCTGAGAACCTCTAAATTCAGACTGATGGCACATTTTAGCCTTACCTCTGCATTTCGAACAACAATTTATCTAATTCATTCTCATTCATGTTTTCAGTTTAGGCATATGTAGATGATCTGCAAGTTATTAATGTGTAGATCATGACGATGAAGGACCTGAGAAATATATAGATGTGTTGCAAGTTATTAATAAGTGGGTCGTAAAGATGACTGATCTGACAAGTATACTAAACCGCAAAAGAAACGTCACCCCAAGTAACATTGCATGAAAAGTTGTAATTTAAATATCTGGTTACTTTTTGTCAAAGTTTCTATTATCTAACATTATCTTGTCCGGAAAAATGAAATTTGATGATAAAAAAACAAAGCAGATGACAAACAAAACCGATCGCCCAAACGCATCACGGCAACGGCCATGGTAACCCAATGCTCGTGAGTTCCGTGCAGATTGAAATGCATATATGTGTTCTCCCAATTTTGCCCTGTAAAAATCCAACCAGTACGGATAACATTCATTTTTTTTAAATTGCTACTACATGCCAAGCTTGACAAGAAATCAGTGACACAAAGCCCTTGGACGATTGCAACTGGACAAAGCCCCCGGCAAGTAGCCAATGCCTTTTAAGTCCACGTAAGGATCATATAAAGGCTCCAGCAATGGTACCAGACCACCAACACTACAGATGACCGACCACGTAATGGAAGACCAACGTATACTGCATTAGATCTGTCAATCACAGATTCTAATATATATAATGAATTTGAATGGTCAGTCCATGATGACCTTTGTGGAAGTGATCATTTTCCGACAGTACTTACAGCTATAAACCCCACTGATGATCCACCTACTACAAGATTGAATTTTTCTAAGGCAAATTGGCCATTATGTCAGACCATATGTACTGACCAATTGAAACCAAACCTTTTTACAGATGTTCCTGACCCAATTCAATTGTTCTCTGGAGACAAAAGCAAATAGCTGATGAAACTATTCCTAGGTCCTCTGTGAACCCACATATTCGGAAACCATATTTTACTGACGAGTCCAAATAAGCTAGGAAGCGGAGGAAGAAGGCAGAGAAATATTTTCGACGCCATCCTACTGTTTCATAATTATGCCAAGACTCGACGAACTTTTAAACACAATAAACGTCAGGCTTGGAAGGATTATGTTTCCAAAAACTGTCAAAGATGTGGAGAATGATCCAAAAAATGAAAGGGAAAGGTTCCAAATCTAGTATTCATCGTCTAAAAGATGACAATAATTTACTGACTGAAAAATTAGGCTTCAGCCAAGCATTCTCCTTCGTCAAATTATTATCCAAAGTTTCAGAAGTATCAACAACAAGAGAGGAAAGAAGTTAATTTTCTTCTGACAATGGCGAAGATTATGACGAAGTATTTTCACTACATGAGCTGCACACTGCTTTAGCACAAGCTCATGATAATGCAACTGGTGCTGATGAGATCCATTATCAGCTCTTAAAACACTTGCCTGAATCTTATCTTACAACACTACTGAATATTTTTGATGATATTTGGACAACAGGACATTTTCCGACTTCGTGGAGAAATACCATAGTTGTACCCATACAAAAGCCTGGCAGAGATCATACAGATCCATCAAATTATCGACTTTTTTCATTAACTAGCTGTGTTTGTAAAACCATGGAGTGCATGGTGAATTATCGATTAGTTTGGTTTTTAGAAACCAACAATCTTATCAGTAATATCCAATGCGGTTTCTGTAAAAAGCGAAGTACAATTTACCATTCGGTTCGTTTAGAATCATTTTTTAAAAATGCTTTTGTCAATAAACAACATGCTGTATCTATCCTTTTCGATCTTGAAAAAGCTTATGATACCACTTGGAAGCATGGTATTTTAAAAGATTTACATGACTTTGGTTTAAGAGGCCGCTTTGCCTCAATCTGTATCGCAGTTTTTCACAGACAATTTCAAGTTCGTGTTGGATCAACCCTGTCTAATCATTATAGTCACTATCGGGGGGTTCGATAGGGCAGTATATTGTCTGTCACATTGTTTGGTATAAAAATAAATAGTCTATCAAAAGTATTAAATGACTCAATTGATGGGTCATTGTTTGTGGATGATTTTAATGTTCATGCCGTGGTAAAAATATGCATACCATTGAAAGACAGTTACAGTGGTGTCTTAATAAAATTAATAAATGGTGTCTTGAGAATGGCTTTAGGTTTTCACAGACTAAGACCAATTGTTTACATTTCTGTCGGAAATATAAACCCCATAAAAACCCAGAGCTCTTCTTAGATAACACTCCAATTAAGGTTGTAAAAGAAGCAAAATGTTTGGGATTAATTTTCGACCACCATTTGACGTTTTTGCCACATATTAAATATTTAAAGACTAAATGCTGAATGCCCTAGATTTATTGAAAGTCGTCTCAAATTCAAAGTGGGGAGGAGATCAAACAACACTACTTCAGTTATATAAATCATTAATCCGCTCTAAATTGGACTATGGTTCCATTGTGTATGCTGGAACTTGCAAGAGTAATTTAAATCAGCTAGATTCAATCCACCATCAAGGACTAAGACTATGCCTTGGTGGTTTCCGAACTTCACGAGTTGACCGCCTTTATGTCGAGGCTGATGAACCTTCTTTGAAGCAACGCCGTATTTAATTGTCTCTTCAATATATCACTAAACTACACCCAAACCGTACTAATCCTGCCTATGACGTTTTTCATCCCCTATATGAAGAACTGTTTCAGAGAAAACCAAAGCTGGTTCACCACTTGGAATTCGAATCAAATCACACATTGTTGCTGCAAATATAGATGTAGATATTATCGCTCCATATTGGCTCTTATCTCCTCCTCCCTGACAGCTGGTGAAGCCAGAAGTAGACGTTTCTCTAACCCGTTTTATTAAAGCTGACGTAAACCAACTATTTTTAACAGGACTTTTAACAATTAAGAAATAAATGCGACACACACCGTTCTATCTTTACTGATGGATCCAAGGACGGTGGCAAAGTGGCATGTGCCACTCAACACATTTATCATCTAGAATACCAGACAATAGCTCTATTCTCACTGCTGACGCCAATGCTATCCTTACAGCCTCGGTATACATTCAAAAGCAGTACGCATATAAACAATTTATCATCTTTTCTGATTCTTTATCTTGTCTTCAGGCACTGGAAAAAGTCTCTTCAAAACATCCAAGAACTTTTTAATGATCTTTCAACTGGCCAATACGACATCGTCTTTTGTTGGTTGCCCAGTCATGTGGGCATAAAAGGCAACACATTGGCTGCTGCTGCTAAAGCAGCACTCAACAAATCTTTGACACCAATTCTAATTCCATACAGTGATTATAAACCTGTGATCAGATGTTACATCCGAGATCTTATGCAAAAGAAGTGGGACACCCAAGTAGGTATCAATGCATTACATCAACTTAAGCCAACTATCTGTTACACCTACTTGGGTTGTCAGTCCAGATTTGAAGCACATACTGTTTGACTGTATTCATTTTGCCATTACAAGGGACCAATATTTCA